GCCCTCACAGAAGTAGGTGGTTGTGTGAACGTCACCACGGTCCCATGCAGCTGTCGTAGGTCCTCCCCAGCCACGCAGCCCCTGGAAAGCCCTGGGAGACTCCGCTCCTGCACACCTGTGTCTGCGAGAACGTCCTGTGCTTCCTGTGTGTGGGACGCAGCTGGGCTGGAGATTGGCCCACTTGTGCCCCGCCCAGGCCTCTGGGTGCGGGGCTGGGGGTGAATCACGTCACGGTGGAGGGGTGTTGGAGCCCCTCTCACTGTCAATGATTTCCAAGGCTGTGGGTGCGCGAGTGTAGCTTCGCCTCCCTCCAGCAGGACCCGGGGTGAGGTCAGGGGGTTCTTGCCCGCGGTGCGGGAGCCTCGCTGTGCTCCGTCCTGAGCATGGCCGTGCCTGTCCCTCGGCTCAGTCCGCGCCTCCCTTTTCCCGGCGGGCTTGGCGCACGCGGCCTCCGTTGTGGTGAGGAACGAGCCTTCCGTGCCTGCCCACTGCGTGTTGTGTGTGCATTTTCTGCGTCTGTCGAGTTGGTCAGACGGTCTGCCCCTGTTTGAGTGTGGCGCAGAGTCTGACCGTCCTTGCACCCCAGGAAAGTCCCCTTGGTCCTGGCGAGTGGCCTTTCTACTTGCAGAGGAATCTGCCGGCTGCCCCTTGGTGGAGCACGCTGGCCCCTGCTCTCTCCGTGTGCTTCTGGTGTTGGTTTCCAGAGACGCTGCCCTCACAGAGCCAGAGCAGACCTGTTCCGGTCGCTTGAACTTGCTGGGGCAGTCTGAGAAGGACTGGCCTTGGCTCCCTGTGAGTGTTTTTGGGAACTCAGCAGGGGGGTCCGCCTGGGCTTCTCTCTGCGGGAGACTGCAGGACTGACTCAGCCCGCCCCCACCCCAGCCCTGCTGCTCTGAGTGGGGAGGCTCCTTGATGCTCCCCCGGGGCGGGGCGGGTGTAAGCACTGAGACCTGGCCACTTCCTCCAGGCTGTCTCCCACGCGGTGGTGGATGCTTTTCCACGGTGGCCCCTTGGGACCCCTAGTGCTTCTGTACCAACAGTCGCATGTGTTCAAATCTTCTGCCCATTTTAATGTGCTTTGTGTTTGCTTATCACTGAGGTTTGAGTTCTTCACGTAATCTACATATAAATCAGTTTCACGTAAGTGAGTCACAAATATTTTCTGTCTGTGGTTTGCAAAAGGCAGTCATTTTTTTGGTGAGGGAGGGCGGTGTTTAGGCATCATTACCACCTGCAATGCCAGAGTCCCATTCGAGGGCTGGTTGGTGTCCTGGCTGCTCCACTTCTGATCCAGATCCCTGCTAGTGTGCCTGGGGAGGCAGCAGAGTGCTTGGGCCCCTGCACCCATGTGAGAACCCAGAAGAAGCTCCTGGCTTAGGCCTGGCCCAGTCCTGGGCTTTGCAGCCATCTCGGTATTGAACCAGCAGGTGGATGATCTCTGTATCTTTCCCTCTCTCTGAGTCTAAAGGAAAAAGTCCAAAGTCTAAAAAGAGAAAGGTAGGGACTGGCACTGTGGTACAGCAGGTTAAAGCCCTGGCCTAAAGCACTGGCATCGCATATGTGCGCTGGTTCAAGTCCCGGCTGCTCCCTTCTAATCCAGCTCCCTGCTATGGCCTGGGAAAGCAGCAGAAGGTGGCCAGGGACCCCGTCCTTGGGCCCCTGCACCCATGTGGCAGACCTGGCAGAAGCTGCGGGCTCGAGATTGGCTCAGCTGTGGCTGTTGTGGCCATTTGGGAAGTGAACCAGCGGATGGAAGACTTCTCTCTTTCTGTCTCTACCTCTCACTATAACTCTATCAAATAAATAATAAATCTTAAAAAATTTTTATAAAGAATGGTAGACATCCCTGAAGTCCAGTTCATTTTTTCTTCCATTTATTATATTTTTGTTTTGTGCCTAAGAAGTATCACCTAGCTGATGGCCTCACATTTTTTCTTCTGTGTTTTTCGGAGGTTTTCAAGCTGCAGGCTCCACGTTTCTGTCTGAGTGACCTTTTGCAGGGGTGAGGTGCGGACGACTTCGGTTCTGCGTGTGGGCGCCCAGTCGTGCCCGCAGTGCCGCGTGGTGCCGGCAGAGCTCCCTAGGGAGTCTGCAGGTCTTTGTGTTCGGCTCATCGGCGTAGCGTTCTCGCCACATGTCAGCTACGTAGTTGGTGATGCCACTCGGGTCTTCTGTATCCTCGATTAGTGCTTTTGTTGTGTTTTGACGTCTTGTGCCGGTTCTTAGAGCGTGCTGAAGTCTCCGAGTGCATTGATGAGCTCCCCTTTCCGTGCTAACCGGTGTTGCCTCAGGTGTGTTGAAGCCCTGTTGTTTGCTGTGTACACATTTCCATTCATTATTCTATTTGGGGAATTGGCCCCTCGATAACTAATTACGTCCCTCTTTATCCTTATTCTTTATGCTTTGTCTGATACTAACATAGCGATTCCTACTTTGTATTGATTAGAGTATTATACCTGTTTTCCATCATTTTATTATTGGAAGCTATTGATGTATTTATATCTAAATGGGTTTCTTACACATAGCATAGAGTTTGGTCTTGATTTTTTAATATAATTTATTGCTTAATTGACAAAATTTAAATATAATAAAATCATTTATATGACTGAGAACCAGCCACACTGTTAGCAATTTTAATTTTAAAATATTTCGGTTTTTATCCTTTGTGTTTTACTTTGATTATTTCCTTAACTTCATGATTATCATTGGTCTTTCCTTTAAAGAACTGTTTTTGTCATTGTTCAGGCTGTACATCTCTAACAGGACCTGAGGCCTGGGCACTGTCGTGTGGGTGGGGGGTGGTCCCGAGGCCTGGGCACTGTCGTGTGGGTGGGGGATGGTCCCGAGGCCTGGGCGCTGTCGTGTGGGTGGGGGGTGGTCCCGAGGCCTGGGCGCTGTCGTGTGGGTGGGGGGTGGTCCCGAGGCCTGGGGGCTGTCGTGTGGGTGGGGGATGGTCCCGAGGCCTGGGCGCTGTCGTGTGGGTGGGGGGTTGGTCCCGAGGCCTGGGCGCTGTCGTGTGGGTGGGGGTGGTCCTGAGGCCTGGGCACTGTCGTGTGGGTGGGGGATGGTCCTGAGACCTGGGCGCTGTCGTGTGGGTGGGGGGTGGTCCCGAGGCCTGGGCGCTGTCGTGTGGGTGGGGGGTGGTCCCGAGGCCTGGGCGCTGTCGTGTGGGTGGGGGGTGGTCCCGAGGCCTGGGCGCTGTCGTGTGGGTGGGGGGTGGTCCCGAGGCCTGGGCGCTGTCGTGTGGGTGGGGGGTGGTCCCGAGGCCTGGGCGCTGTCGTGTGGGTGGGGGGTGGTCCCGAGGCCTGGGCGCTGTCGTGTGGGTGGGGGGTGGTCCCGAGGCCTGGGCGCTGTCGTGTGGGTGGGGGGTGGTCCAGAGGCCTGGGCGCTGTCGTGTGGGTGGGGGGTGGTCCCGAGGCCTGGGCGCTGTCGTGTGGGTGGGGGGTGGTCCCGAGGCCTGGGCGCTGTCGTGTGGGTGGGGGATGGTCCCGAGGCCTGGGCGCTGTCGTGTGGGAGGTGGGATGGTCCCGAGGCCTGGGCGCTGTCGTGTGGGAGGTGGGATGGTCCCGAGACCTGGGCGCTGTCGTGTGGGTGGGGGATGGTCCCGAGGCCTGGGCGCTGTCGTGTGGGTGGGGGATGGTCCCGAGGCCTGGGCGCTGTCGTGTGGGTGGGGGATGGTCCCGAGACCTGGGCGCTGTCGTGTGGGTGGGGGATGGTCCCGAGGCCTGGGCGCTTTCGTGTGGGAGGGGCATGGTCCCGAGGCCTGGGCACTGTCGTGTGGGAGGTGGGTGGCCCTGAGACCTGGGCACTGTCGTGTGGGAGGGGCATGGTCCTGAGGCCTGGGCACTGTCGTGTGGGAGGTGGGATGGTCCTGTGGCCTGGGCGCTGTTGTGTGGGAGGTGGGATGGTCCCGAGACCTGGGCGCTGTCGTGTGGGTGGGGGATGGTCCCGAGGCCTGGGCGCTGTCGTGTGGGTGGGGGATGGTCCCAAGGCCTGGGCACTGTCGTGTGGGAGGTGGGATGGTCCCGAGGCCTGGGCACTGTCGTGTGGGAGGTGGGTGGCCCTGAGACCTGGGCACTGTCGTGTGGGAGGGGCATGGTCCTGAGGCCTGGGCACTGTCGTGTGGGAGGTGGGATGACCGTGTTGTCTCCCGGCTGTCGGGGGGTGGTGTCGTGTACTTTCCTCTCCACAGCGCACTACTGAGGGACCCTGAGCGCTGTGTTGCCTCGTGTGTTCCATCTTCGGATCCTTTCGTTGATGGGAGCGTCACAGCTCACCAAAGCTTTCACGAGCTGAATACAGTTTTCCCCAACAAGCAGCACCCTGTGCTGTGCCTGCGTCACCGGGAGTGCGTTCCGTGCCTGCAGTCCTGGGTGCCCACCTGGAGTCCAGGGCTGCGCACCTGCGTCTGTCACCAGGGTCCCTCGGCCTCGCCCTAGGCGTCGGGCAGGCCGACACTGCCTTTCGGGCTCTGTCTCTGTCCTCCCCCACTCGCTGGGTCCGTGTCCCTCTGGGCCGTGCCGTCCGCTTCTCCGTGCTGTCGTCTTGGTCGCCCTGCCGGGATGTGGAGGCAGCTACTGCTCTCCCCCAGGAGAACACGGGGTTCCCCTTCCCGTGCCGTGAAGCAGAGGTGTGGGCGGTCCTGAGCTGCCAGGGCACCCGGCTGCACCTCTGCTGGGGCTTCCTGGAGGGGCGTGTCCCCCGAGTCTGTGTTCCCCAGAGAAGCAGGCTTCCCCCCCAGCCCTCGGAATGCAGCAGGTGTGTGGGACTCTGAGTGCAGCTGTCGCCTCGCTGGGGTGGGGCAGGAGGGGGGTAGTGGGCAGTCCAGGGACTTTCTGAGCCGGCTGCCTGGGGCTGTGGGGAAGCAGCACCCTTGACAGTGGGGCCTGTCTCGTAGCCGAGACAGCATCAGTTAGGAGATAACAGAGACGTCTGCGAGCTTTCCCCTTGAATTCGTGTCCAAAGCATAACCTTCTCTTTTTGTCTTTTTCCCCCTCAAGGGGTGCTACCTCCATTGTGTACAGATGCAAACAGAAGGGGACCCAGAAGCCTTATGCTCTCAAAGTGTTAAAGAAAACAGTAAGTCAATTTCCTTATATCGTGGCGTCTCTAGGGGACCTGTGGCCTGGACAGGCAGGGGCCGGAGAGGCGCCTCGCACGGCTGGCGGTCGCGAAAGCGCAGCCCCCACGGGCGCTGTCTGCCGGGCACTGCGTGACTCTGGCAGCAGCTGGATCTCGGCTCGGCTGGGGGTAAACGTGTTAGAGCTGGCGGGGGAATCTTGCTGTGTGCACACACGCACGCGCACACGCATGCACAGTCCAGGGAAAGGCAAATCATGAAAAAGCTCTGCATGAATTTCGAGAGCTTTGCACCCCCGCGAACTTCGCGTGAACTCTGACGTTGCTGCCCGTGTGTTACGTTCTGCTGTTCAGAGTCTGATGTCTGTGGTTGGGAAAGGAGTCCGGTGCTGCCACACGGCCGAGGCTTCCAGATGCCAGGTCGCCCCAGCCGCGTGCGAGGGGCGGGGCTGCCTGTGTGGGGACAAGGAGTCCCTTCTGCCGCCTCTGCCGAGGGGCGGGTGGGGCAGACGCAGGTGGCTGGGCTGGTCTCTGAGGAGTGAGCATCCCGACACCTGACCCCCTGCTTGCACTTGGCGTTCTCTGGGGGTTTCCACTCCAAAAGCCAAAGAGAAGACACTGACAGCACACTGTGCCTTTGTCAAATTGTGTGTGAACTGCACGGGTGTCTGAGAACCCGCTGTGACGTGGCGCACGTTCCGAAGTCGAGGGAGGCCCTGTCCGGGCCGAGGGGTTTCCCTCAAGGCAGCGGCCACTGCTGCACTGTCTGGCGGAGCCCTGTGTGCTGAGGAAGAGCGCAGAGCGGCAGGCCTTCAGTTGCGTGGAAACAGAGCGTCGTCTGGAGACCATCTGCTGGAGCGTGAAACCATCGCGAAGTAACAGGAGCGTCCCGGAAGCCGGGAGCATCTCGGGGCGCCGGCTGCTGCTAAGCTCCGTAGCCTGAATTTCCCGTCTGGTGGAGGCGGTGGCTCCTGCTGCAGGATGTGCAGGAATCCTGTGGTGAATACTGTTTGGGATTCTCCCTTCAGTCAAATTTCTTCTGGTCTTAAAATTTATCTGAACTAGAGCTTATGAAAAATTTTATGGAATAGCAATTTCATACTAAACATCTACTTTTTATGAAAACAGCACACTTTATAGCAGCTGCCACGTGTGAGGCATTTTAGACTTGGTTCTGTGTTCTCGTTGGTGAAAAAAAAATTGTGAGCACAATTGAGAATATTTTAAAAGTAAAAAGTTACATAAAATTCCGAGAAATAAACAGGATGCATGCCCAGTAGCAGGGTTGCTGGATCAAATGGCAGCTCCATTTCTAGTTTTTTTCTTAATTTACACACTGATTTACTTATTTGAAAGTCATAGGGAGAGACAGAATCTTCCATCCACTGGTTCACTCCCCAGATGGCCATAATGACCAGGCTGAGCCAGGAGCTTCATCCAGGTCTCCCATATGGGTGCAGGGGCCCAGACACTTGGGCCGTCTTCTGCTGCCTTTCCCAGGCCATTGGCAGGGAGCCTAGATCAGAAATAAAGCAGCCTGGACATTAGGACATGAACTGTTGGCACCTGGGATGCCATGTTGTAGGCAGGGCCTTACCTGCTACGCTACAACGCCGGCCCCTGCCATGCGAGCTTCACACTCTTTCCCACAGTGGCTGCTGTCACTTGCATTCCTGCCAGCAGTGCACAGGAGCTCCCCTTCCCCACGTCCTCATTTGCTGCTGTCTTTTAGCATGAATTCAAGGGGAAAGCTCACAGACGTCTCTGCGACGTCGGTAGAGGCCCCTGGTTGCACACAAGTTTCTGTGTAGCTGTGGCCTTCGGGCCTCGTCTCAGCCAGCTGTAGACCACACATCGTGACTTGCTTATTGCCCCGTGAGCTCATGGCTCACAGCCGATGCTGTAGGCTGCCGTCCCCATGGTCAGTGCCTGTGTGCTCTGTGCTGTAGGCTCCTGTCCCCGTGGTCAGTACTCATGTGGTCTGTGCTGTAGGCTCCTGTCACTGTGGTCAGTACTCATGTGGTCTGTGCTGTAGGCACACACAAGCACTGACCACGGGGACGGGTGCCTACAGCACAGACCACATGGGCACTGACCACGGGGATGGGAACTTACAGCACAGACCACACGGGTACTGACCACGGGGACGGGTACCTACAGCACAGACCACACGGGCACTGACCACGGGGATGGGAACCTACAGCACAGACCACATGGGCACTGACCACGGGGACGGGTCAAAGTGCTCAAAGTGGGTTTTGGAAACGCCAGGCTGAAATGTAGCGAGCACCAGTGGAGCGTGCTGTGGGCGCCGTCTCCCATGGTGACCCTGTAGGTGGAAGAAGGGCGTCAGCCCAGCTTCCCAAGCCCGTCTGGGGGTCGAGCGGCGTCTTCCCCATGAGCTCCTGGCCCGCCGTTCGGCTGGGTGTGCTCTGGGCGGTGTTGGTGTGAGCTGTTGACCAGGCGCAGCCACTGCTGCCGTCCTCCTCGCCCAGAGCACAGGAGGGAACCTAAGGCAGTGTCGGTTGGGCCGGGACGGTCAGGAAGTCCGCCCTGGACAAGTGCTTCTCTGAACCAGCTGGCGTCTCGCCCGCATGCCTGCGCCGCAGACCTCCCAGTCTTTGCAGGAGCTGCGGGAGCTCCCTCGCTGAGCTCCTGGGCCTCGGAGGGGCTGTTTGCACCTGTAGGGGCACTGGCGGGAGAATTCCATCGCAGCATGATGGCGGAAATCTCAGGTCAGCCCACCGTGTGGCCCGCGGTAGGTGCCACGCAGCCGTGCAAGCCCCGGAAGCCCCGGCTCAGTGAGAGGGAGCTGCAGGTTCTGCCGGAGCAGCTGTGAAGCCCCGGAAGCCCCGGAAGCCCCGGCTCAGTGAGAGGGAGCTGCAGGGTCCGCCGGAGCAGCCGTGAAGCCCTAGCGCGTTTCCTGAGCTGGCTGTCCGTCTGCGGGTTTCGGGGGTACCTAATTCAAGTCCAGACTGAGCCCCTTTCTGGCCACTGTTTCACAGGAAGACGTCAGCAGGGTCGGGGAAGGTGGGGGGGAAGTTGGTTGAAGGCCTCTGTCCTGATGAGGGGACCCCCGGCCTGTCTGGGGAGACCCGCGTGCTGTCACTGTGCCTCCAGCACCCCGTCTTCCTCCAGCCTTTGGGAAAACCGGCTGCAATCCATGCAGTGTCCAGGTCCTGTGACCTGGGTGAGCGAGACGGGCAGCTCCCCCGGCTTCAGGGTTGGCTTCTGGTGACCTCGGCCGTCAGCCCCTTGGAGGTGCTCATCTGTGTGCTGTGGATGTGTGGGTGAGGTCGCCTTGGTCATGCTGGAGACGGGTGACTGGTCACCGATCAGGTGGACGCCGGACCTGGCTGAGTTCCATGAGAGCATGAAGGGAATGGCTTGGCCCGGAACAAGCCGTGTCCAGGGTCAGTGACTTAGCTCCGTCTGCTGGAGCCTCGTGGTTGTCGTGGAGACCACTGAGCCCAGCCAGCTGGACAAAGGGCACGGGCGTTTCTGTTGAGTTTGTTGCAGGTGCCCACCCACGGGAGAAACGGGGCAGGTGGGGGTGAGTGCCTCGGCCTCACGCTACGCCTCCCCATGCAGGGTGTGCTGGGGCCTGCACGTCGTAGAGCTCGCTGTAGGGCTGGGCCCTTCTGCTGTGACAGAAACCTCGAGTTTGTCAGGGCTGGCCTGCTCACCCGTCCCTGCCTTCCACGGCTCTCATAGGTGTTTTTCTGCCTTGCTGTCACAGACCCCCCAGTTCAGAGCTGAGCTGCTGCGTGGGGGAGGGAGGGAGGACGGATGAGAGTGAGCACTGAGGGGCTGGGTGCTGCTGCCCACCCCCAGGTGATCACCCTGGAGCCCGAGTTCTCCCACAGGATGTACAGCAATGCTCCGCCGGCAGGTGGAGTCAAGCAGGACCCTGGCTGGGGCTGGGGTCTCGGCAGCCAGAGGCTGGGAGTTAGCGCCTTACCCTGGTTCACGCTGGGGCCTGGGAACCAGCCAGGGCCGAGCCACAGGGAGCTCCTGGGAGCACCCAGTCAGGAGGTGGGGCGGGGGAGGCGTGGACAGAGCAGGAGCAGGGCTGGGAGGGTGGAAGGAGCACCAGTGGCACTTGGCGCTCACTCGGTCACTCAGCGTCTTCAGGGCGGAAAGCCGGGCCCTCGGTGGGGGCGGCCGTGGCCTACTAGGTGAGGACTTCCGTTACGGCACAAAGCTGAATGGTGGTTAAGGTGGCGTCCGTCTAGGTGACGTGAGAGAGGAGAGAAGGGGGTGTGCAGCTCCTGGCAGTCATTTGCGGGATGGGGGGATGAGTGACGGGGTGCAGGGGGTGCGCTTTGCAGGGGACCCGGGCAGTTTTCAGCTCTGCTAAAGCCAGGCCCTCGCCAGCTGCCACACGTCCCTTCGTGGGTTCCGCAGCAGAGGAGCCGCAGGAGTGCTGCCCTGCTCTGCTCTCCAGCTGTGCAGGAGCCCCTGGCTTTGTGTGCCCATTGCTCCCCGAGGGAGCGGCACGGAGCGGGGGCCCACCCCGAGCAGCCGCCTGCGCCCTCGCACCCCGGAGCTGGGCCTTCGCCCTTGATGTCATCGGAGCCGTGGTAGGGACAGAGGCAGAAAAGACGTCAGGGGTGACCTTGGCCCAGATTCGGGGCTGAAACCAGATGTTGATCCTTGGAAAGCCGTTACCGAGACAGAGCACGGGGGAGACGGGCGCTGAGGGCAGAACGCTCGGGAGAGACGGCCTCACAGGTGAGCCGGACCTGGGACGGCCGTGTCCCGTGTGAAGCCGCACAAGGGACTTCCCTGTGCAGGCAGTGCCGGCAGCACAGGTCTCCACAACGCTCAGGTCCTGGCTGAGTGACACTCAGTGTGCGGGGGGGGGGGGGGGGTGAGACCTGGCCGCCCACTGCTGGCGGGGTGCGAGCCTCTCTCCGCCGTCTCAGTGGGCCAGTGTGGGTCCCCGTGCTCGCTCGGCCACGAGGGCTGCCCCAGGACAGTCTGACAGCTACCTGTGG